ATGTTGTGATCGTTTTCAACAGAAAATCTTTTTGAGGAACATTTTGTTTTATCTTAAGTTGTTTTGCATCCAATAATGAGAAAAGAAATCCACGGAAAATGTGATTGCTTTTTCCCACTATCAATGTCACGAGTAAATTGATAGTGGGAATAAGCATATTTTTGTTTTTGATTTACTTTTTTCATTTTGCAGTTTGGTTTGTTGAAAGAAACATTCCTTATTGTTAGATATGCCACGCAAGAGGATGTTATTTGTGTTTTAATGTGAAGTGAAGTAAAATTTTTAAATTTATTCGTTGAATTGTGAAAACTCGAACGAGACCTCATCGAGTCAAATGAATTGCGCCATCGATAGATGAAAAGTCCAAATTTAATCAACGTCTAATCAACATTTGCGAAGTTATTACTGCATTATATCGTTTTTCGAAGGGTTTGTGATCTATATATAAGAAATATATCAGTTTGAAAAACGATAAGATCGTCTATAGAGTCGTCAAGAATCTATTCGACGAGATATGAGCACATTCCAATTGTAAATTCAAAAAAGCATTGGATCTTTGTTTCGGATGTTTTTTCAGACCCTCACATATGAGTTAAAGATTATGGAATGTCCTGTAAAAGCATAAATTGTACAAACAAATTGATATATGCATCATTTATTAGTATATAATTCCATTTTTTAGAAATCAGCTTAGAAAAATCAATATTACTCCAATTTTTATGAAACGCGATGATCATATCGACGATATTTGATCACACATTTGATTCGATGAAACTAACTAGAAATCGATAATCATTAGATTGATTTCAATAAATTGTAAGCATCGGTATCATGGATGAAATATGTGCTTTTGATTCNAACTGCGGATAAAAGTTTCCAAGTCACTTCAAAATATCCAAAAATAACATCCTAAAACATGCATCTTATTCATTCACAGAACCTAAAATGACCTAAACAAATTCCTCACATTGAATTCCAGGAATCGCTCATAGACCAATTTTCATAATGGCTGACTCTGGAATAATGAGAATAAGAACTGGAACAAATACCTTCCAATTTTGTGCCTCCATTTTTTCATCATGTTTCTTTGCCCATATAGCAACTTTTTCATAATATTCATCGAAATATTTCTTACAGATTTTCAAATCTTCATGATCTGGCGGACATTCTTTCTGTGGTATTTTTATTTCTTCAGCACTTTCGGATTCCTCTTCAGCATTTTCACTTTTTTCTTCAATATTTTCGTTGCCTTCCTCCTCACTAGCTTCAGATGCCTCGGATGTTGAGGACTGTGTGGATTCTTGATCTTCTAACGATAGAGTTGTCGTTTCTTCAGGTAGTTCAGTCGTCTTTCCCGTTTCAGATGCAACTTTTTCAGTGGTAGTGCCTTCATCTAATTGTTCTTCCGGCTCAACCACCTTCTCATCAGATTCACCAGTCGCACGCTCCTCTTCCTCAACTTCGCCAGATGTACTCTCGTTTTGTTGAGTGGATTCACCGTCTGATTCAGTTGCACTTGGAAGGTGATCCGAATTGTCACTCTCAGGGCTACTCGTGGGCAACGGTGATGCCAATGATAACTGGCATTTGCTTCTGATATCGCAAACGCGATATGCAATTGGTTTGTTCAAATGCTCTTTGAACTTCAGTTCATTTTCATATGTGCCCGCATTTATGGCCAATTGTAACGTCACACAACCGTCCAGAGATTTGTCCTGAATATATTATCATACTATAACTGCAAACT